CCCTGCTCCTGAAGTTGATTCTGCTTCTGCAGTCTTCTGGACCCGGTGGAATGGGGGAAAGAGAGGCTGCTGCAGGCTGCCTCAGAGCTCTCTGGCCTGGCTAGCTGATGTTTCTGAGGGGTGGAGCTGACACTGGCCTTTACCAATTGGACAATGGCCACCTGCTGCATAGAGATAACCCAAGAGCTTAAGATGAAGCATGCAGTCTTTCTTTCCAACTTTTCTTCAGTTTATCAGAATGCACTTCCCAGAGGGCAACACTATGGTAAGTGGGACTAGAATAGCTATCAAATTGTACTCTCCTCACTTCCTGCTACCTGTCAGCTTAGATTGTGCTATACTTCATGCTTTGCTCAGTTAAATAATTATGTGACAATATGGTACACATAACAATATGGTACAATATGGTACAACCTCCCGTCTTGACTTCTGTAATGCACTGTACATGGGGCTACCCTCCTGCTTGGTCCAGAAACTCCAATTAGTACAGAACATGGAAGCCAGGTTGGTCTCGGGAACAGTGAGAAGAGACCATATAACACCAGTCTTAAAGTCACTTCACTGACTGCCTATTATTTTCCGGGCACAGTACAAGGTGTTGGTTAGCACCTTTAAAGCCCTAAATGGCTTGGGTTCAACCTACCTTCGGGACTGTCTCCTTCCATACCTACCCCGCGCACTCCGGTCCTCTGGGAGGAATTTGTTGCAGTCTATAAGGACCATGTTGTCTGCAACCGCCCAGAGAACCTTTTCAGCAACAGCTCCCAGATTATGGAATGGCCTGCCAGATGAGATCTGGCATATTACCAACCTAACTAGCTTTAAAAAGGCTGTTAAGATGGACCTCTTCTGGCAGGCTTTTCCTGACTAGATATCCTGGCCTTGAGAGTTAGCCCATCCTTCCTTCTCCAACTATCTTCTGCAGTTGTTGGTTATTGTTTATAGTCATTGAGACTTTCTTTTATGTATGTTTTAATTATGTAATTGTTTAATACTTTTTTAAGGTGGGTGGTTTTTGGGATTACTGGGTTGTGATTTGTATCGCATTTTCATGGCAATCTTAACGTTGTACGCCGCCCCAATTGTTCTGCAGAGGGGCAGGATATAAATAAATTTTATTATTTTTATTTTATTTTATTTTATTTCTATGCCTCCTTTCTCCCAGAAAGGGATCCAAGGTGGCTCACAGATAAAAACACATTAAAAACTTATTACAAACATTAACACCACAAAAAACATGATACCCACCCCATATAATAAACACCCAATATATGACACATTAAAAGTCTGCCTGAATAAAACTGTTTTTGCTTGCTGACGGAAGGCAAGCAGGGAAGGAGCCTTGCTTCTCATGGAAGGACATTCCAAAGGGCAGGAGCAGCCACCGAGAAAGGCAGAATATGAGCAGAAGTGAAGTGATATCTATATAGTTGTTAAAGAATTTAATTTATGATGCTTAGGAACCCGGATTTTTGTAGTGGAAATTCATGGAGGTGTCATTGTGCTACGTTAGGCCCAGTGTGATATTTAGTGTAATCATTTTATTTTTTTTTAAAAATCAAGCCAACATAAGTAAAAATATGTTCTTTTTCTTATTTTTTATTTTTGCTGTTTAACACTACGTCCTCAATAAGAAGCTGACTTGCTGGTTGTAGGACAATGTATGTATTAGTTTCAAAAAAATGTTTGATCTGATCGACAGGTTAAAACTTTCTAATGAAAATAACAATGTAGTCATATTGATGATCATAGTAATAATGTGTTGTTGTTATTTGTGGCTAATAAAGTACAATTATACGTCTGTATCTTGCTTAGTTCTATAAGTATTTTGCAAGCCAACAAGCCATTTTGACGATCATCAGAAAAATACAGCTGAGTACATAATAAAGTGATAACCAGCACGGTTTAATGATTTGAGTGTTGGCCTATGACTCCGGAGACCTGGGTTCGATTCCCAGTTTCGGCATAAAACCCACTGGGTCACCTTGGCAAGTCACATAGTCTGAACAAATCTTGAAAACTTGATGGCAAAACAACAATACATATTATAGATGTACATAAATCTGATGAACTGAATGCATATTTCTTACTCTTTTTAGCTTTTATGTAGACATGTCCTCCATTTTTTCTTGAATGTCCCCCATTTTGAGCACGGCTAAGTATGAATTTACATTTTTATATGGATGTTTTTAGCTTTTATTCTGTCATGTCCTGAGCTTTTCTTGAATTTTCTCCATTTTGACCATGACTAAGAAGCATGGATTTATGCTTGTGGAAGTGTTTTTAGCATTTATTTTGTAATGTCCTCCATTTTTAGCATGATTAAGAAGCATAAATTTATAGGAGTGAGGGTTTTTTAGCATTTATTTGATCATGCCTAGTTCTGCACTGCAGAAATAATGCAGTTTGACACCACTTTAACTGCTATGGCTCCATGCTGTGGAATCCTGAGATTTGGAGTTTGTTGCAGCACCAGAGATCTCTGACAGAGAAAGCAAAATATCTCACAAAACTACAAATGTTAGAATCCCATAGCAATGAGCCATGGCAGTTAAAGTAGTATAAAACTGCATTGATTCTGTAGTGTAAATGCAGCCAAACTGGTGGTCCCTGAGCCATTAGGCACTAGTCCCTGGTGAGATTCCAGGAAAGGCAGAAACAACTGTACCCAATGGGCACAGATTCGGTGCCAGTCCCTGGCACACTGGAAACAAATAATAATAATTGTTGTTCATTTCAAACAAGATATAGTGATGATCCCTGAGCTACTGGGTGCCAGTCCTGATTCCCTGGTGAGTTTCCAGGAAAGACAGAAACAGCTGTACCCAGTGGACATGGATTTGGTGCCAGGCCCTTGGTAAATAATAATAAGGGCCACTGCCTGCCTCCAGGTCTCTGTTGCTTTTCCAGGAAAGGCAGAAGAAGCCACTGGTGTACCCGATGGGCACAAAATTGGGTGTGAGCCCCATGGAAAAGAGAAATCACCTCTACTCCTTTCTAGCATGGTTTAAAGGACACTTTCCAGCCTTGACCTCTGTCTGCCAGAACGGTTTGAAATTTGGGAAGGATAGAGGAGGAGATAAGGGAGGAGGAGGAGGCCAGTCAAAATGTGTGCTGGCGCTCTTTGCAAGGAGGAGACTATGGGGAGCTTCGCTGACTCTTGTTTCCTGGCCTGGAGAAGGCACCCCGCCACCCCTGGGGATCCCTGCCACCACCTCTCATCTCCTCAACTTGGGCAAAGCCAGCCAGCCCTGCTGCCTCTCCGCTCTGCCTCCTCCCTCCTGCCTACCACTCAGCCCACTCAGAGCTGCAGGGCAGCATTGCAGGAGAAAGGTGGGGAGACTGGGCATGTTGACACCAGGGGCCAGGGAGGGAGCTGGGCCTGGAGCCTGGGATGTGTAGTTTGCTAAGAGCACCAGAGCTCTTCTTGCAATGAAGGTAAAACATAGTCCAGGGTGCATCCAGAGTGTGGAATTAAAGTGCCTCTGTTTTCACTGGCAAGGCTCCAGGCTATGAGATCCTGGGGTTTGTAGTTTGCTGAGGGCAACAGAGCTGGGCTATGAAACTCACTGCGGGGGAACTTTGGGTAGGGCACATTCTCTCAGCCTGGGAAGACAGCAGTGACAAATCCCCTCTTTAAAACTTGCCAAGAAACTCCCATGGTAGGGTTGCCAGAAGCAACTTAAAGACACACAACACACCCACGCACTTCAAAGTGACACTCTCTCACCCTCAGAGGATGGCAACAACACACCCCCTCTTTAAAACGTGCCATGAAAACTCACCAGAAACAACTTAAAGACAAACAACCCCCCCACATACCCCTTCTCTTCCTCCTGCAACGCAACTTCGTTCTTCCTCTGCCTCTCCTCTTTCATGCCTTCTAACCACGTGCTGGTTCCCTCCTCTTCCTCTTTCCTTCTTCTTCCTACCTTCCTCCTCCTCCTCCTCCTCCTCAGACCTCCTCTGAACAAACCTTGCCAAGAAACCCTCTTGATAAGTTTGCCTTAAGGTCACTATAGGTTGGAAACAACTTGAAGGCACACAGCAACTATAGCTCCCAGAACCCCAATCGTTGGGGGGGGGGACTTCTGGCCAGCTCCTTGTAGCATCATTGTAATGGGAAAACTGGGACAAGACAAAGAGCCGGGCCATGTGTGCGTACCCCCTGCCTCTTCCACAGGTGGCTGCCATGCCCTGGCAGAAGGGGCTGCTTGCCACTTCCAGCACGCATGCCATATATTCACCAACACGGACCTAGGGAGCTATTGAAAAGAATAGCTTCATTTAAAAGAAAATATTGGGGGGGGGGGAGTAATCCACATAGTTACTTCCTTTCCTTATTTAATACTGGTTAATTTATAACCAGTAGAGGTTTAAAATACTTTTTTTTAATGTTTGCATCAAAATCATTTTTGAAATGTTGACATGAAATTGAAAAATCAGAGGTTCTAGAATCAATATAAGGAAAATTAGAGCTCTTTGTGATGCTTATCATTTTTTGATGATAAAAGTTAGATACAAGAACCACTTCACCCATTGAACCCTTTGCCCAGAGAGAGATTAGTGGTGTTTTAGAGTTCCTCTTATAGATTTTCACAGTCTGTAACCTACATCTTCTATTGTTGTTATTTATTCATTTATCTAAAAGTTATTTATTTATCTATTCATTTTTTCATACATTTGTTTTTTAAATGCATTTACTAGAAATGTCTATTGTGATGAAAAATGGTAGTTAGCAATATTGAAACTTTAGAATACTGTGCTGAATTTAATGTTTAAATGCTTAAACAATAAAGATACAACAAAAGTGGACTTTGTAGTATAATAATGAACAGTTACTATGAACAAGTGACAACTTCTGTGGTGTTTATTACGGTATTTCTCATGACACAATCTTTTTTTAAAAAAATAATTTTATTGAAAATACAATAAACAACAAAAACAAAATAAAACAAAGAGGACAAGACAAAACAATCTACATAGAACACAATCTTATGACTCAATTTCTTATAACAAAATCTTACAAAGCCTGATTTAATATATATATGTATTTCTTTTCCTCTATACAATATTTTTCTTATATATAAGTACTGTCCAATTTTCAGAATTTTAAAATCTCACAGTTTACTTATTTATTTATTTGGAGTATTTATACTCTCCTCTTCAGCCACAAAGGTCCTCAGAGTGGCTTACAAATGGTTAATTAGATGGTTCCCTGCCCTCAGGCTTACCATGGTAGTATACTATTGTTATTTCTGTTATCTTTTCTATCTTTATCTTTTCTATCTTTTCTATTTTGTTATCTTTTTGCCCATTTGGGACTCAAGTTATAAGAGATACAGCTAAAAATTTACATTGTATGAAAGTTAAAACACATTTAAACTGTGAATAAAATTAAAAATAATTTTAAGCAGACTATTAAAAAGAAGAATACAAATATAAATAACACAGCACATGAAAAGCCCTTTCCCCCTGAATAGTGAGCCCTGAAAGGCCTGCTGGAACAAAACAGTCTTCACTGTGTATGAAGGGACAACAAGGAGAGTACCTGTTTAACTTCTTTAGGAGGGGAGCTCCAGAGCTGGGAGCAGCCACCGAGAATGCCTTATTTCAAATGGCAAAATCAAGGTTTGCTTTTTTAGAATTTATATTTTTTTTGAATATTTTCAAGCTGTGGGGGTTTGAATCCATGGATAAGGAGGGTCAACTGTATCTGGATAATCACTTGTCTGGAATTTTTTTGCTAGTCCTGATCTGTATGCTTCCCTTCATTCAAAGCCATAATACAGATGAAGTGAACTATATAATAAAAATAAAACGACTATGTTAGTAATCATTTACATTTTTGTTAGACCAAATTTCCCTGAACTCCACCTCCCATGCACATAAATGTGTTGAGTTACAGATTGAAGATTACTTATTTCTTCAAAGCAAGACAGCTGCTATTGCCACAAGACCTTCTGGCAAAAGGTTAATAGCTTTCCTTGCTTGCCAAGAGAAGTCTGTTTTCTGATAGACAACCAGATTTAAGAAATAGGAAGCTCTCTTCTGCAATTGAGTTCTCTCTTTTTCTGGGTTTGATTTATAATGAATCAAACTTCTGCAAGTCTTCAGCAACTTATTCCTAAATACTTTTCTATATCAACAACATGCAGTTCCTTAAAAAAGATTTTGCTACAAAGCTGTATGAGTAGTCTCACTCCAAGGAGAAAAAAACAAAAAAGTGTAACTGCTTGGACAGTTGCCTGAATTTTAAATTCAGTTTTTATAACCAGATTATTCCAAATTAATAAAAAATTATATTAGCATACTTATTGGTATGATCTTTGGCTACAGTGGCAAATGCTGAAAGGTATTTAAGGCAGCTGTCAAGTTGTTACAACAAGGTTTCCAACTGTGATTGTGTCTATAATGTAGCTAGAGTTTTAAAAGAGCATAATATAATTAATCTTGAACTCCCTGAGCTCTTAAAAGGATGTCAGTACATGGGGGTGGGGGGGGGGGCTTTTTTTCTTTCCTAATCAGGTTCCAAAAATGTAATAATAACCTCTAGTTCTTCAGGATTTTAATGCTATTTATTTCTTTCAATAGCTATGCATGCAGTGAGGCTCCTTTTAGCTTGCTATAAGTACAGTATTGTTTTGAAATATTGATTAACTATTCTCAGCATTAAACTCTCTCTGGAGATTATAGTGTTAATTATCTTTATAATACCTGACCCCACCAATCACATTTACTTTATCAGGCCTAAAATGTCAGTAGTATTCTCAATGGCATATGAAATATTTAAAGCCTAAAACATACAACAGCCAGCAAATCCTTGGGAACAGCAGGGTTTGAGTAATAAGCAAGTAGTGCACATATGGGCAGAGAATTAACTGGCACTGGTTTTCATTTGAAAGTCTCACAGGTGTTGACTTGCAGATAGGTGGACAAGTGCTGAGAGAATTTCTGTGTGTGATG